AAAATCAATCCAGCCAGGAGCCTTCAGGGCGGGTTTTGGGGTTTTCCCTGCCCGGGCTGGGCTCAGCACTGGTAGCAGGGGTAGCAGCTGCCGTAGGAGTATCTCTGGAAGTAGCGGGAGGAGTAGGGCGAGCAGTAGCGGGAGCTGAAGCTCGGGCAGTACTCGCGGTAGCCACAGAGCCTCCCGTAGTAGCCCTGGTAGCCGCAAGGGCTGCCGCAGTCGTAGCTGCGGGTGCTGCAGACGGTGCCGTAGCTGCAGGGGGAGTAGCAGGGTTCCTCACACTGCCGCTGGTAGCAGAAAGTCATCTTGGGGCTGGAGAGGAGGGAGGCCAGGCTGCAAGGGAGGGAAAAACACGTGAGGTGAGTCCCGACAGTGAGTAAACCCCGAGTAAGAGATGCAGGGAAAGGAGAGGCAGCAAATCATGGCACAGTGCCCTCATCCATCAATCCATCCTGAATTTAGGGCCAGTTCTTGCCCCTAATCCTCCATCCTGAGGAGGGAGGCGAGGCTGGAAGGGAGGAAAAGAGGAATGGGAGAGTTGGGGAATGGTTTGGGTAGGAAGTACATAAAGCTCATCCTGTTCTACCCCTGAATGGGCAGCAACAGAGGTCCATAACCCTAACCTTAACCATAACCATAACCATAACCATAACCATAACCATAACCCTAACCCTAACCATAACCTTAACCTTAACCCCAACCTTAACCCTAATCCACACCTTCCTCCAGTCCATGGTACTCCAAGCTGGCCTTGGACTCTTCCTGGCATGTGGAATCCTTGGAATATTCCAAATTTTGGGCCAGTTCTTGCCCCTAATCCTCCATCTTGAGCTTTCCCACACAACCTCGCTGAAAAATGGGGCTGTGACCCAAAGCAGGGCTGGAAAATCCTCAGAGCTGTGCTGGGACAAAGGTGTGAGAGAAATAGGGGATCCATGTGGGACTGAGGCTGTTTTGAACAGCCAGAAATTAAAAATCCAGGGAGGAAAGATTGTTTTGCATTCCTAAATCACAACCTCAATTCTTGGCTGCAGCATCTGTAGATAAGGAGGGAATAAAAAGGAGAGGGAACAGCCCCAAATCTGTCCCTTCATCATCGTCTGAATTCCCCAGATCTGTTCCCACTTACCCTTGGCTGCAAGGAGGAGAAGGCAGGAGCAGGGAATGGTTTCTCCACAGGGATGTGGGGTTTTTATGGAGCTCCAGGTCCCGCCCCGCTCAGCCCTAATTAATTCCCAGCCCCTTTTCTGCTCCTCATCGATATCCCAGGGTCCAGCACCGTCACCAGGAGGCTCCGCCCGCCACGTCCCTTTCATCCCAAAGGCACTCAGTGCAATTAAGGCTGGCCATCATCATTATCATCATCATCATCACGCTGAATTTGCGCTTTTTGGGACAGCGGCGACTCTTGGGGATCAGCAAAGTCCCGTGGAATTCCCAACGCGGCATCTTTGGGACACTGAATGCGCTTTGTTGTGCTTTTTTCCCCCCCTGGAATAATTGTGGAAGGCACAGGCTGTGTTTTTGATGAATTTCATCATTCCTAATGACACTGGAGCATCCCTGCGGATCCCTCCCAACATTTCCGGTGATTTGGAGCCGCCGCGCCGGGGGATGTTATTGATTCAGTCAGGAAATATTGATTCAGCCAGGAAATATTGATTCAGCCAGAAAATTGGCCTGCAAGCATCGAATTGGTATGTCCAGGATGTATTTTTAGAGGGGGAAAAAATCTTCCGGAGACCCAATTCTGAAGGTATAAATTAGAATTTTAATAAAGGCAGGAAACAGAACACCCCAATGTACCTTTTTGGAGAGGGTGTTACATAAGAGTGGGGCGTAGCAAGGTGCTGTTAATATTGAAATAATAAATCTCTTTGTGCCCGAAAATATTTAATAAGTCTTAATGAAGGCTTTGATATTCCAAATTTAGAGAAAGGCCCAGAACTCCTGACGTGCTGCCTGTCATTATCCTCCCTTGGGATGGGAGTAAACAGCAAAACAGGGTTTGGAGGTGAAGGTCACCCCAGCATTATTCACCTTCATTAGGGAGAATTAAACACCTTGCCAATATGAAGAAAAATTTACATTAAACCATATTTGGAATTTGGGGGGTTTCCTGGGAAAACTGCAGTGGTTACAGAGATAAATCCCTGGGGTGTTTTATCTTTTCTCTGGGTTTTTTTATGTTTCTCCTTGTCAGGAAGCCCTGAAAAAATAATTTTGTGATCGAAGGGAAAAAAAACACTGAGCAGATCTTTTTGGAGCCAGTGAAATCCGCATTGCTTGGGCTGGAAATTCAGTTCCTGAATGGATTCCATAAAACACGCCTGGAGATTTCAAATATCGTAAAATAAACCTGGAGATTACAAATACGTTTTTTTCTGCTTGAAATAATTTGGATTCATTGGGGATTTCTACCTGCTCTGAGGTTCATTTAAGTCATTGATGCCTGGTTTTATTCGAATGTATTTCCACTCTTACACAGAAAAGGATCACCATTTCTTTCTACAACTGAAGAGCTTGTTGAAGCTGGGTTGAGTTACTTATTAATAATTTTTAAAATAAAAAGAAAAATAAATAAATATATAAATAAAAATATAAAATTAAATACGTTATAAAAATAAATATAGATACAGATAGAGATCTATATAAATATAGATACAGAAATAGATGAAACTATAAATATAAATATAGATATAAATATAGATATAAATATAAATATTTTATAAATATAAATATAATTATAATTATAAATATAAATATAAATATAAATATAAATATAAATATAAATATAAATTATGTTCTGGCCTAAAAACGTGATTTTGAAATAGACCCAAGCAATAAATTATCTCCAGGGATTTTCATTTTGAAAAACAATTGAAATTCCTTCTCCCTAAATGAATCCAGGGTCATTGCAGGTTTCACATATTACCATTTGTCCATTCATCCCAAATTGGGATTGCGAGCATCCATTAATTCTGCTCTCAATATCCTTCCTTCCTTTTCCTGCTGTAACTCAGATTTCGCCACCCTCACTCCCCGTTTGTAATTGAGCCTGGACATGAAAGGAAAGAGAAGCACGAAGTCATCCCTGTGGCAGCCCTGGGAGCTGAGTAAGGATCCCAAAACGAGGAAAACAACCCCATCAGCTGCGGGGTGACGTGCGGGGCGAGTTTGGGCTGTGATGAGAAGGAGTTTGAAGCATCACAGGCTGGCGTAGATAAATGTATAAAAAGGAGCCAAGTCCACGGCTCTGCACTCACGCCTTCAGCCTTCAGCCTCAGCTCTTGCTCAGCGTGGTAAGTGGGCTTAAGGGGATTTGCTGCTGGGATGCTGCTGGGTTTGGCTGTAGAGGGGTAGGGATGGGAGTTAAAATTTGAAATGATGGTTAAGGAATGATTTCTTGGCAATGCAGTTTGGGGTTTTTGTTAAAAATGGGGTATTAGCCCGTATTTTATATATATGTATTTCTTTTAAATATATATAGAAAGATATTAAAATATATTTAGAATTACATACGTATATATCTATATAAATATAGGTTAATATCCCATTTTAAACAAACGCCCCAAACTGCACAACCATGAAATCATATATATATATATATATATATATAAAATATATATATATTAAAATATATATATTAAAATATATATATATAAATACGAGTTAATAGCCCATTTTTTATATTATGGGTTTATATAAATATAAAATATGAATTAATTATTAATTTCCACATTTAGACATGCCTTATGAGAAATACGTTATTTGAGGATATTATGAGTTATTTCAGGATTTATTGTTAATTGGCTGTGCCAGCGAGGTTCAGGTGAGACATCAGGGCAAGGTTCTTCCCGACAAGGGTGGCCTTGGATGGAAAGGTTCCATTGGGTTTTCCATCCTCTCACAGGGCTTCCAAAAGCAGCAAATTCCTGCTGGATCCATCTCTGAGCTCTCCTTTCAAACTGCTGCAGATGGGAGCCCTGGGAGGGTGGGGAGGCCTTAAATTTGGGATATTCCAAGGGTTTCATATCCCTGGAAGTGTCCAAGGCCAGTTGCAGCCCCATGGGCTGGAGGAAGGTTTGCGTTAGGGTTAAGGTTAAGGTTAGGGTTAGAGTTAAGGTTAAGGTTGGGGTTAAGGTTAAGGTTATGGTTAGGGTTATGGTTAAGGTTAGGATTAGGGTTAGGGTTATGGTTATGGTTAAGGTTAAGGTTAAGGTTAAGGTTAAGGTTATGGTTAGGGTTAGGGTTAAGGTTAAGGTTATGGTTAGGGTTAGGGTTATGGTTAAGGTTAAGGTTATGGTTAGGGTTAGGGTTAGGGTTAGGGTTAGGGTTAGGGTTATGGTTATGGTTATGGTTAAGGTTAAGGTTAGGTTTATGGACCTCTGTTGCTGCCCATTCAGGGGTAGAACAGGATGAGCTTTATGTCCCTTCCTACCCAAACCATTCCCCAGCTCTCCCATTCCTCTTTTCCTCCCTTCCAGCCTCGCCTCCCTCCTCAGGGTGGAGGATTAGGGGCCAGAACTGGCCCTAAATTTGGCATGCAGCGGTGCATCAGGGCACTGTGCCATGATTTGCTGCCTCTCCTTTCCTGCATCTCTTACTTGGGGTTTACTCACTGTCGGGACTCACCTCACGTGTTTTTCCCTCCCTTGCAGCCTGGCCTCCCTCCTCTCCAGCCCCAAGATGACTTTCTGCTACCAGCGGCAGTGTGAGGAACCCTGCTACTCCCCCTGCAGCTACGGCACCGTCTGCAGCACCCGCAGCTACGACTGCGGCAGCCCTTGCGGCTACCAGGGCTACTACGGGAGGCTCTGTGGCTACCGCGAGTACTGCCCGAGCTTCAGCTCCCGCTACTGCTCGCCCTACTCCTCCCGCTACTTCCAGAGATACTCCTACGGCAGCTGCTACCCCTGCTACCAGTGCTGAGCCCAGCCCGGGCAGGGAAAACCCCAAAACCCGCCCTGAAGGCTCCTGGCTGGATTGATTTTACTCCTGGGTGGATTTTGCTCCTGGGTGGATTTTGCTCCATCTCATCTCCGGTTCCCTGAGGGTTTGGGATCTCTTCCATGATGTTACTCTGATTAATTCACTTATTTTTGCTGTTCCTTCTCTTTTGGGATGAGGTTTTTGTGTGTCCGGAGGAGCTGGCTGTGCTGACAGCTCTGCTTCTCTGCTACACCAGCTTTACTCCCCAAAGTTCTGCTCTGGGGTGTAGCTACTCCTCAGTGTATGATGGCGTGAACCTCCTGTGCTACAACGAGCTGTAACTTCTTACTCTCATTAAAAGATCTTGCATCACACCGCTGCCTTCTGTTGTGTTTTAATGTTCTTTTTAATACTATATTTGGTTTTGCTAATTAAACATTTGGCACTCATAGAAAAGAAAATTAAATTTGGCATCAGTTTCTCAGATTCTTAGTAGAATTTGAGGGGACTGAGGGAGTGTTGAGCACCTCGATTTCTGTTGCTCCAAAATTCACATTTTCCATGTCCCAACTCTGCCCCTCTTATGCCAAAACCATTCCTGTTTCCATAACTCCAGCTGAAAAAAATGTGAAGATTTAGGAAAAATTAATCAGGACATTTCCAGCCCAAGTTCTACCCTGCAGGAAAATCCAGTTTTGGAAGGGATTTCCAGCCAGAATTGTCTCCCCACAGTCCTGGAGTGCAGGTGGGAGGCGGAATTCCCTCCCCAAATCCCCAAATCCCCAAACCCCCAAATCTCCAAGTCTCCAAATCCCTGATAGGAGCTCAGGCTCTGCTCCCTCTCAAGCTGTGCCAGATTGGAAAATTTGGGAAAATTCACCCTGGAAAGGGTGGCCAGGCTTTGGAAAGGGGCTCAGGGAGGGTTGGATCGCCATCCCTGGAGGTGTCAGAGGAATTCCTGAAATTTTCTGACTGAGCTTGGATTTGATCCTGGAGGCTTCTCCAACCTCCGGGTTCCCGGAATTCCAGCTTTTCCTTTTTCTGCAGAAGTTCAGATCTGATTAAACCGGCTAAAAATGCAAACCAACGTTTCCCTCCGCTGGTCAGGAGGTGCAAATTCAGCAGCTGAAGGGATTCATTTCTTATTTAAAGTTACTCTGGTTTAGGCATGAATTTGGTTTAGAAGTTTAAATGGAGTGGAGTAGAAAATAAACTTTCCAGTTGCCGAGTCTGAAAGCAATTTGAATTGATTTGTATTTTCAGAATGCATTTTTTCAAAAAGTTCAGACTTAAATTTTGTACAGAATATTAAAAAAAAAGAACTGAATGGGGATGAGCAGGTTTTAACCCGTCCCATGAATCAGAGCCCTTCATTAAATGCCTCCATTTATTATTCCCCAGGAATTTAAATCCATCTTTCTCTAATTAACTAAAGGTTCTATAAATTAGATTTCCACCTAATGATCAAAGCCTTTCTTGAGTTCTTCCCTGTGTTTTTAGGTGCAAAAGTGAATTCCTGCTTCTGCAGGAATTTTGCATTTTCAGGGTTCTGGACACCCAAATTTTGCACTAATTTGGAGCATTGAAGGAACTTTGGAAAATGTCCTCAATTTGCTGAACTTCCCAGGGGCATTCATGGCCCTTCAGTGTCCCTCAGCCCTTTGGAAGGTGTTTTGGTCACTCAGAAATTATCTGACCAATGTAAACATCAACAAAATTAAATTTATTTGCCCGTGTCACACCTTCAATTAAAATAATTGGTTTCCTCTCCATCAGCGGTTATTAATCTATTCTCAGCTCAACCTGGCAACACAAAATAACCCACAGAAGTATTTTTGTCTTAAAAACCTTTTTGACTCCTCCAGCTGTAGTGATGAAATCCAGATTTCAGAACAAACAAGGGAATTTATAGGAGTTATAATTATAAAATTATTTTGCAGCAAATGTTACTAATGCTGATTTTCAGCCTGTCCAGCACAAATCAAGAGACTTTTTTTAAAATTCAGCAAATACCTCCCTGTATGATCTTCCCCCACAGTAAGCCAAGCCTCATTTGCATATTAAATGAGGATAATTACAGGCATTGGGGAAGTGCTGAGCCTCATCAGAATTTCTGGTATCAGCGCCCTCCCAAAACAATCATTAGAGTTCCTTTGGCAATGTTTGGATTCTTCCAACCTTCCCGGTTTAAATTCCTCGAGCAGAGCAGGGAAGGGAGCCCCCAGGGGACAAGGGAGGTTTTTCTTCATTTAAATTATTTATATTTATTTATAATTCCTGCCGTCCCCTGGGGCAGAGTGACAGAGATCCGTCTGGAAAATGCCACCACAGCAGGTTGGGGAGCAACTCCTGCCTCAGGAAAAATCCCTCTCAAAGGGAACGTCCAGCCCTTTGTGCTGTCCAGCCCACCTGAGGCAGGAAAATAATTTGATAATTTTAACACTTATGAGGTTTGGAGACCTGGATTTCATTCCTAAAACTGAGGAGGACCTCACAAGTTTTTTTTTAAGGTGGAAGAGAAGATCTTTGGTTCATTATTGTGGATAAGGAACCATGGAATGGGTTGGGTTGGAACAACCACACTTTCCAGTATCTCAGGTTGCTCCAAGCCCTGGCCCTGGACACTCCCAGGGATGGGAAATCCATGGAATTATCTGGGACCCTCACAGGGAACAATTCCTCCCCAAAATCCCACCCAAATCCCCCCTGCCCCATTCCCTGTGTCCTGTCCCTGCAAATCCTGAGGAAAAGTCTCTCTCCAGCTTCCCTGGATCCCCTGCAGATCCTGGAGGGGCTGTGGGGTCTCCACATTCCCAACATTCCCAACCTGGATCCATCGGGGAGGGGCTCCAGTCCCTTTATCAAATTCGTGGTCTTCTCTGGACTCGCTCCAACAATTGCAGGTCCCTTTTATTTTGGGGACACCAGAACCTGGCACAGAATTCCCAATGGGATCCCACCAGAGAGAGCAGAAGAGGAGAAGCCCCTTCCTGACCCCCCTGCCCATGGATGCAGCCCAGGACAGGGAGGGATTCTGGCCAGCTCACGCCCATGGATCCCATATATAAACCCTACACATATCCGACACGTGAGTGATATCACAAGACACCAACTCATGCAAATTTTTCCAATAATTTCATCTGGGAAAAAAAAAAAGAAAAAACCAAGCAAAACCCTCATAACAAAAAAATTAACCACATTTCTCAGATGCTGCCTTAATTGATCCCGTGCCTCGGCCTGCACCTCTCCTAGAACAAATTATAGGCAGGAGAGGGACCTAAAAGAATCAATGGAACCCCTGTCATTAATTGTGACGGAAATCCCGGAGCGCTCGGGGTGATTCTCCTCCGCTCCCCAGCAGCTTTACGTCAACCCAAAATGTGCAGTGCCCACCTCCCTGGTGGGGCCACTGGGCAAAGAACCAATCCATGGCTTCCCAGCTGGCCAGGAATTGGGGCTGGAGCTGTTCTGTGTAGCCTCCAGCCCCATCCCCAGGTGTCCTCCAGGTGCGTCCCCAGAAATCCCTCTGTCCTAGAAAGTCTGGAGATGAAAGAATCTCCCGGGCTGTAATCACAGTGCTCAACCCCAGGAATTCCAAAATTGTCCTAAATGCAGAGGAAAACAATTATAGCAATTGGGCTGCTGATGTACTTCCCAAATTTGTCCCGTGACTAAGGGGAGCTCTCGGGGAACGGCTCCGACCTCCACAATGGGAATATAAAAATGCTCCCAACCCTGGTGCTCCTCACAAGGCTCCTCTTGGTTTGCTCTTCCCACTGAACTTGGTAAGTCCAGATCTCGTTCTCCTGGAGAATCCTTGAATTTGGGGGGAAATCCTTTGCTTGTGGTTGTTTTCTCTTGGGTGCTTTTAATCTAGAGGGGCATTGACCCATGGACATTCCCATGTCTTTGGAAAGATGGGAAGTTAAATTTAATCCAGGGGATATTCCCATGTCTTTGGAAAGATGAGAAGCTGAGTTAGAAGTTCTGGATTTCTTTTTTTCCAGTGGTGACACCTGGAATTTTCAAGCCTGATTGTGCAAGGAGGAAATGGCTCTTTGTGGTGGGATGTTGCAATGGGGAATATGGAAAAGTCCCAGGAATTGTTTTTGTCGCTCTGGAGTCCCTGGGGCAGCTCTGAGCTGCAGGGTTTAAACCTTTTTTTGTCCAGCACAGTGTCCTTGCTAGAATTGGCACTGACAAAGCCAGGAGAAGGAATTGTTTATGTGCCAAGATTAAAAGCAGACAGGGAGGCTGGAGACTTAATGAACTCCTTGAGTTGTGCGTTTCCAAGAAATGAAGAAAATGCCAGGGGGGATTCGAGTCAGACACTGGGACTCCCTCACTGGGAGAGGATTTACCCCAGCCTGTCCCGGGAGCCTGGACAACAAACAAATCCCTTCTTCAGGAAGATTTTGTTTTCTTGGAAAGGGTTTTCAGGATTTGGAAGGGAGGTTTGGAGTCCTTATACCAAGGAAGGATTGGAGGTGGCACTCAGTGCTCTGGGCTGGGGTTGGACTCCATCTTGGAGGTCTTTTCTGACATCAATAAT